ATCGCTTGCTCACAACTTTAATGCCAGTAGCTCACAAAGTAGAATTTTTGCGCACAAGACTCCACGGCTTAGAGGGAGCATTGCCTGGGAGGTAGGTGAGGCTGAGAGAACTCTGACACAAACTGCTCTTTTTCAAGGACAGCTCTTATCAGAACTACGGCTTGCCCAAGGTCATCCAGCAGCTGCAAGTGGAGGAATGGGGAATCAAACCCGGTTCTCCCAGGTTTAGAGTCCGCGCACTTAACCACTGCACCAAACTGGCTTGATTATTATAATCAGCTTGGTTATTATAATCAGCTTGATTAGAGCGGAGGGAAAATGCTGGGGGAGGGCAGAAAATCAGCCTCCCTAGTGAAATACGAATCCAGTCTCCCTGTTAGGTTGAATGGCTGGCTCAAGGTCACCCAGTGAGTTTCGGTGCCAAGGTGGGGATTTGAAGCTAGCCTGATCTAATCCGGTCCTGGAAGCTAAGCAGGGTCGACCCTGGTTAGTACCTGGATGGGAGACCGCCAAAGAAGTCCAGGGTTGCTACGCAGAGGCAGGCAAGGGCAAACCACCTCTGTTCATCTGCCCTGAGCTGGGTGGCCGAGGGTATCCCGATTTCATCAGATCTCAGAAGCTAAGCCGTGTTGGCCCTTGTTCGTCTTTGGATGGGAGACCAAGGGAGTCCGGGGTTGCTACACAGAGGGAGACCATGGCAAACCCCCTCTGCTTGTCTCTCACCTTGAGAATGCAATGAGCAGTCGCCATCATTCAGTTGTGACCGCGCTTTCCGGTCCACCACCATTTCCAGTTCCTGGCCCTCGTGCTTCTATCTAGATACCAGCCGTCGAAACTAAAAGGAGGAGGGATGAATCTTCCGAGTTTGCTCTGGATATGAGAACCGGTAAGTGAAACCATTAGGGTCCTTTGAATAGATAAATATGCATTATCTATTCCATTGGCCATTCTGGGGCTGCAGATACGACGAGATTGGTGTAGATGAAGAGTCCGTTTCCATCCCAAAGACGCACATATCATTTTCATGTACTCACTGTTAGTTTCGTTTTATTATTACAGTCTTAAGACCATTTTTATGTAGTCATTGTTAGTTTAGTTTTATTATTACGGTCTTAAGACCAGCATACAATATAAGCATAATATGGGGGGGGGGGAGGAGAAAAAAAACACAGAGATAATATACAGAGTAAAAATCTAAATTTAAA